CTCTGATTCCCATGTTAGTCTGTTAGGAATTTTCTTATCTCCTCATAGTTTCCCTTTCGGAATGCCAGCCTTTTGTTTTCAATTCCCCTCCTCGAGTTCATTAACCCTTCCTCAACCAGATACTCAAACACCAGTACACTGTGGTCGCTCATTCCTACTGGGGTCTCGAAACTGATTTCCCTTATGTAGGAGTTGTTCAGAGTGAAGACTAGGTCAGGTCTCGCTGGTTCATCGTTTCCTCTCACCCTAGTGGGTTCCCTGACATGTTGGCTTAAGAAGTTTCTTGTCGCCACCTCCAATAGTTTGGCTCTCCACGTATCCTTGCCTCCATGCGGTTCTTTATTCTCCCAGTCTATCCTTCTGTGATTGAAGTCCCTCATGATGATCAGATGGGATCTATTTCTACAGGCAGAAGAGGCTGCCCATCAAATTACAGTGTTAACTGCCATGTTGTTGTTGTTGTTGTCATACTCTTGCCTGGGTCTTCTGTCATATGGTGGAGGGTTATATATCACTGCTACTACTATTGTTGATCCTCCCATTGATATGGTGCCTGTTATGTAGTCTCTGAATCCCTTGCAGCCCAGGATAGCCATCTCCTTGAAACTCCATTCTATTCTCATTAGTAGGGCCATTCTGCCACCTCCTCTTCCTTTCCTCTCTTTCCTTATTACAGTGTAGTCCTGGAGGAACACCGCATTTGTTATAATTCCTGAGAGTTTTGTTTCTGTGAGTCTGATTACATCTGGGTTCACTTCTTGTGCTCTTTCTCTTAGCTCACTTGCCTTGCTTGCAATCCCATCTATGTTCGAGTACATCACCCTGAAACCGACTCTCGTCTGTCCTTCGTCAGTTTGTGTTGATTCCCCTGAAGCAGGGAAACAAGGATGGTCCGAGATGGGAGGGCATAGGAAGGGGGACCTGGGGGATCTGGTGTGTGCGGGGGCTGGGAGGGTCTGTTACGGGGAGGGTGGTGGAGGAGGGAGGGCTTGGAGGGGGGAGAAGAGAGGGCATGGGGAGAGGGGGGAGGCTTGGGGGGTGAGAGGGGAGAGGCTTGGGTAGGTTTGTGAGAGAGGGAGGCTTGGGGGGTGAGAGGGGAGAGGCTTGGGAGGGTTTGTGAGAGAGGGAGGCTTGGGGGGAGTGTGGGAGAAGCAGAGGCTTGGGGGGGGGGGATGGGAGGAGGGAGGGCTTGGGAGGGATGGGGAGAATGGGGGCTTGGACGGGAAGAAGAGGAGGGAAAGCTTGGGGAGGGTGAGGGGGAAAGAAGGGCTGAGGGGGGGGGGGAGAATGGAGGGTTTGAGGGCGGGGGAGAAGGAAGGAAGGGAAGGATAGGGAATGAGGGGTGAGGGTGCCCTAGGTGGGCACCTAGAGGGGGGGGGGGCCTGGCAGGGATTGGGGCAGGTAGGACGTCTATTGGGTTTACGATAGCTGTGGTACTTCTCCCATTGTGGCTGTTGAACTTCTTGTGGAGGGTTCCCTCACTTCTCTCTGGTGTTGTAGGGTTCGGGGTTGTGGTTCCCTGATTCCTTTTTCTCTCCCTGCACTCCCTCCTCGCAGCTGCTGCCCTCATTCTCTCGTCCCTTGTCATATCCTTCTGCAGGAATACTTTTTTGAACTTCGGTACGAGTGTGTGTGTGTGTGTGTGTGTGTGTATTCACCTAGTTGTGCTTGTGGGGGTTGAGCTCTGCTTTTTCGGCCCGCCTCTCAACTGTCAATCAATCAATAAACTGATACTAGTTAGTAACTAATTTTTTTCACACACACACACACACACACACACACACACACACACACACACACACACACACACACACACACACACACACACACACACACACACACACACACACACTCCAGGAAGCAGCCCGTAGCAGCTGTCTAACTCCCAGGTACCTATTTACTGGTAGGTAATAGGGACATCAGGTTGAAGGAAACTCTGCCCATTTGTTTTTCTGCTGGCTGCTGGGATCGAACCCTGGTCCCTAGGTCCACGCGTCTAGAGCGCTGTCCACTCAGCCAGCCAGTCCCCCCGTGTGTGTGTGTGTGTATTCACCTAGTTGTGCTTGTGGGGGTCGAGCTCTGATCTTTCGGCCTGCCTCTCAACTGTCAATCAACTGTTTCTACTACTACTGTTTCCCCCCCCCCCCCACACATACACACACCACTCACACACACACACACCCCAGGAAGCAATCCGTGACAGCTGACTAACTTCCAGGTACCTATTTACTGCTAGGTAACAGGGGCATAGGGTGAAAGAAACTCTGCCCATCGTTTCTCGCCGGCGCCCGGGATCGAAGCTGAGACCGCAGTATCACGTGACCTGCGTGCTGTCCGCTCGGCCACCGGCTCCCACCGGTGTGTGTGTGTGTGTGTGTGTGTGTGTGTGTGTGTGTGTGTGTGTGTGTGTGTGTGTGTGTGTGTGTACTCACGTAGTTGTGTTTGTGGGGGTTGAGGTCTGGCTCTTTGGTCCCGCCTCTCAACCGTCAATCAACTGGTGTACAGATTCCTGAGCCTATTGGGCTCTATCATATCTACATTTGAAACTGTGCATGGAGTCAGCCTCCACCACCTCACTACTTAATGCATTCCATTTGTTAACTACTCTGACATTGAAAAAATTCTTTCTAATGTCTCTGTGGCTCATCTGGGTACTAAGTTTCCACCTGTGTCCTCATGTTCGTGTCCCACCGGTGCTGAAGAGTTCGTCTTTGTCCACCCTGTCAATTCCCCTGAGAATTTTGTAGGTGGTTATCATGTCTACCCTTACTCTTCTGTTTTCCAGGGATATGAGGTTCAGCTCCCTTAGCCTTTCCTCGTAGCTCATACCTCTCAGTTCCGGGACGAGCCTGGTGGCATACCTCTGAATCTTCTCTAACTTTGTCTTGTGTTTAACTAGGTATGGACGCCAAGCTGGGGCTGCATATTCCAGGATTGGTCTGACAGAAGTGGCCTACAGGGTCCTAAATGATTCCTCACACAAGTTTCTAAAGGCAGTTCTTATGTTGGCCAACCTAGCATATGCCGCTGATGATATCCTTTTGATATGGTCCTCTGGGGACAAGTTCGGTGTGATATCAATCCCCAGATCTTTCTCTCTATTTGACTCTTGTAGGATTTCCCCTCCCAGATGATACCTTGTGTTCAGCCTTCTGCTCCCTTCGCCTAATTTCATTACTTTCCACTTTCCTGAGTTGAACTTTAGTAGCCATATTTTAGACCATTCCTCCAGTTTGTCCAGGTCGTCCTGTAGTCTCTGTGTATCGTCATGTCTTGATTCTTCTCATAATTTTTACATCATCAGCAAGCATTGAGAGGAATGAATCTATACCCTCTCGAAGATCGTTTACATATATTAGAAACAGGATGGGTCCAAGTACAGAGCCCTGTGGGACTCTACTAGTGACATCTCGCCACTCTGATGCCTCCCCCCCCCTCCCCACAGTTACTCGCTGTTTCCTGTTGCTTAGATATTTCCTTATCCAGTGGAGCCCCTTACCTTTACTCCTGCCTGTTGCTCCAACTTTTGTAACAGCCTTTTATGGGGTACTGTGTCAAAGGCTTCCTGACAGTCCATGAAAAGGGATTTTTGGAAAATTCACCCTCCTCTTTCTTGCCAAATTTTTGTTGCTTGGTCATAGAATACTATTAAACCTGTGAGGCACGATTTACCATCTCTGAACCCATGTTGGTGGTGTGTCACAAAACCAAACCATCATCAGAGAAATCTTAACAAGCAACACAGAAATCATCAATAAATTCAGCGATAGCAGGAGACTCGACATCAGCAAAGCACTACACATCAAAAAATCAACACCAGCAATCAACAGCCAATTAATGTATAACTATATTCTACCCACTTCCAAACCCCGAACCAACATAGAAGCAGCAAGAGAAAGTATGGGCCAATTGGCCTTCTGTAGTTACTTCCATTCTTATGTTTTCATACCCAATTTATACCCATTGATTCGTGTTCCGTCACTTCACTCAAAACTTTTGTGTCATATCACCTCACCCAAAACAAATAAAAGCATGATGTATGTTATGTGTAAACCAAGTGTTTGAAAATGTAAGAAGCCTTACGAAACAATTTTAGGTGTCAGAACAAAAATAAAAATGTAAAAATTGAATTCTGGAGAGTTAATTTTTCAATTACCCTCGACAGTGAAGAAAAACGTAAGAAATATTGAGAAGATTCGTGGTAGAATTATTAATCTTACCCTTTCGGTCATATTCAACAACATATGTTTACAAGAAAGACTGCTACCAAAATATACTATATATATATATATATATATATATATATATATATATATATATATATATATATATATATATATATATATATATATATATATATATATATATATATATATATATATATATATATATATATATATATATATATATATATATATATATATATATATATATATATATATATATATATATATATATATATATATATATATATATATATATATATATATATATATATATATATATATATATATATATATATATATATATATATATATATATATATATATATATATATATATATATATATATATATTATATATATATATATATATATATATATATATATATATATATATATATATATATATATATATATATATATATATATATATATATATATATATATATATATAATATATATATATATATATATATATATATATATATATATATATATATATATATATATATATATATATATATATATATATATATATCATTATTGTGTTATATCAGTGAAATTAGTATATGGAGTCGTGGGTTATGTTGTGCTCTTCTTCCTCAGATGTGAATCAGTGTTTACCATGTCCTTACACTCGACTTGTTCGTTATTATGAACGCATAATGGCAGAATTTGCTCCTATTCATTGTTATATTATAGTTAAATATATTATTGTTTTAACATTTTTATATTTTGCGTAATTTTATATAATTTTTCCGTGCATAATCTAATACAGAATTAATAAGATACGCAATAAGAACTTGTACGTTTATAAAAGTGGATAATAAAAATAAAATGCTACATGAAATGCTAATTTACTGAACAGACATAAATTAAAGTATTTATACCCAAGGTCTGTTAATCAGAAACTTACAATATAGACTGTGGTGTAGAAACAGAAGTATATACTGAAGATAAAAGATATACACTGGAAATAGAATTGCTGCCAGCAAGAAGAGCTCTCAGCCGCCACAGAAGCCCTAGTAGAGAGAGGAAGCCGGTGAAGTGTATAGCCGGCGCGGGGAGGCGAAGACTAGCCAGCCGGCGCGGGGAGGCGAAGACTAGCCAGCCGGCGCGGGGAGGCGAAGACTAGCCAGCCTGGCGCCCACAGCTCAGTCCCCCTGTGGCGGTGGACCCCGACCCCAGCACACCCTCAATATCCCATCACCAATGGCTATCAGTCTTCACGTCAACGATTTCAGTTTTGAAAATCGGACCCCGACTTTACATGTAAGTAATATGAGATTATTTTCTTGGTATTTGGAAGATTCTGCCATTGTTGACATACGTGTGTGGGTGTAGGTGGATTTTGGCGCTGTTAGGACGTTTGTTTATGTCTGTTGATGGTATTGTTTGTGTCTAGCACTGTTAGGGTGATTGTGTAAGCCTGTTGGTGGATTCTGCCACTGTTAGGGGTGATTGTGTGAGCCAATTGGTGGATTCTGCCACTGTTAGGGGTGATTGTGTGAGCCAATTGGTGGATTCTGCCACTGTTAGGGGTGATTGTGTGAGCCAATTGGTGGATTCTGCCACTGTTAGGGGTGATTGTGTGAGCCAATTGGTGGATTCTGCCACTGTTAGGGTGATTGTGTGAGCCAATTGGTGGATTCTGCCACTGTTAGGGGTGATTGTGTGAGTCTATTGGTGCAATTAGCGACGGTCAAAGGAAATTTAGCAAAGTTTTCTCAGTCGCATTTTCTCTTGATATGTTGCTTCTTAATGTGGGTTGTACAGTAAGGAAAAACTTGTGGTCGCAAGTCCCCCCAGAGTATATCGAGGTCCCCCAGAGTATATCGAGGTCCCCCAGAGTATATCGAGGTCCCCCAGAGTATATCGAGGTCCCCCAGAGTATATCGAGGTCCCCCAGAGTATATCGAGGTCCCCCAGAGTATATCGAGGTCCCCCCAAGAGTATATCGAGGTCCCCCCAAGAGTATATCGAGGTCCCCCAAGAGTATATCGAGGTCCCCCAAGAGTATATCGAGGTCCCCCCAGAGTATATCGAGGTCCCCCAGAGTATATCGAGGTCCCCATGAGTATATCGAGGTCCCCCAGAGTATATCGAGGTCCCCCAGAGTATATCGAAGTCCCCCCAGAGTATATCGAGGTCCCCCCAGAGTATATCGAGGTCCCCCAGAGTATATCGAGGTCCCCCAGAGTATATCGAAGTCCCCACAGAGTATATCGAGGTCCCCCCAGAGTATATCGAGGTCCCCCAGAGTATATCGAGGTCCCCCAGAGTATATCGAGGTCCCCCCCAGAGTCGACCTGTGCCTCTCCCCCAACGTGGAACCCCATAAGTTAATTGACTAACAGATACACATTTACTGCTAGGTGAACAGAGGCATTGGGTGATAGGAAACATGCCCAACCATTTCTGTCCCAGGATCCCCGATTGTGTGTCCAGGAATGTGTCCCCGTGGCGTAGTGGTAAAGCACTCGCCTGGCGCTTTGTGAGCACAGGGGTCCCCCGAGCCTCTCAGGGGGCTACACAGGGGTCCCCCGGGCCTCTCAGGGGGCTAGACAGGGGTCCCCCGGGCTCCTCAGTGTTCCCCAAGGGTCCTCAGGGAGCTACACAGGGGTCCCCCGGGCTCCTCAGTGGTCCCCAAGGGTCCTCAGGGGGCTACACAGGGGTCCCCCGGGCCCCTAAGGGGTCCCCCGGGCCTCTCAGGGGGCTACACAGGGGTCCCCCGGGCTCCTCAGTGTTCCCCAAGGGTCCTCAGGGGGCTACACAGGGGTCCCCCGGGCTCCTCAGTGTTCCCCAAGGGTCCTCAGGGGGCTACACAGGGGTCCCCCGGGCTCCTCAGTGGTCCCCAAGGGTCCTCAGGGGGCTACACAGGGGTCCCCCGGGCTCCTCAGTGTTCCCCAAGGGTCCTCAGGGGGCTACACAGGGGTCCCCCGGGCCTCTCAGGGGGCTACACAGGGGTCCCCCGGGCTCCTCAGTGTTCCCCAAGGGTCCTCAGGGGGCTACACAGGGGTCCCCCGGGCTCCTCAGTGGTCCCCGAGGGTCCTCAGGGGGCTACACAGGGGTCCCCCGGGCTCCTCAGTGTTCCCCAAGGGTCCTCAGGGGGCTACACAGGGGTCCCCCGGGCCTCTCAGGGGGCTACACAGGGGTCCCCCGGGCTCCTCAGGGGGCTACACAGGGGTCCCCCGGGCTCCTCAGTGGTCCCCAAGGGTCCTCAGGGGGCTACACAGGGGTCCCCCGGGCTCCTCAGTGTTCCCCAAGGCTCCTCAGGGGGCTACACAGGGGTCCCCCGGGCTCCTCAGCGGTCCCCAAGGGTCCTCAGGGGGCTACACAGGGGTCCCCCGGGCTCCTCAGTGTTCCCCAAGGGTCCGCAGGGGGCTACACAGGGGTCCCCCGGGCTCCTCAGTGTTCCCCAAGGGTCCTCAGGGGGCTACACAGGGGTCCCCCGGGCTCCTCAGTGTTCCCCAAGGGTCCTCAGGGGGCTACACAGGGGTCCCCCGGGCTCCTCAGGGGGCTACACAGGGGTCCCCCGGGCTCCTCAGCGGTCCCCAAGGGTCCTCAGGGGGCTACACAGGGGTCCCCCGGGCTCCTCAGGGGGCTACACAGGGGTCCCCCGGGCTCCTCAGCGGTCCCCAAGGGTCCACAGGGGGCTACACAGGGTTCCCCGGGCTCCTCAGTGGTCCCCAAGGGTCCTCAGGGGGCTACACAGGGTTCCCCGGGCTCCTCAGCGGTCCCCAAGGGTCCACAGGGGGCTACACAGGGGTCCCCCGGGCTCCTCAGCGGTCCCCAAGGCTCCTCAGGGGGCTACACAGGGGTCCCCCGGGCTCCTCAGCGGTCCCCAAGGGTCCTCAGGGGGCTACACAGGGGTCCCCCGGGCTCCTCAGCGGTCCCCAAGGGTCCACAGGGGGCTACACAGGGGTCCCCCGGGCTCCTCAGCGGTCCCCAAGGCTCCTCAGGGGGCTACACAGGGGTCCCCCGGGCTCCTCAGTGGTCCCCAAGGGTCCTCAGGGGGCTACACAGGGTTCCCCCGGGCTCCTCAGCGGTCCCCAAGGCTCCTCACGGGGCTACACAGGGGTCCCCCGGGCTCCTCAGTGGTCCCCAAGGGTCCTCAGGGGGCTACACAGGGGTCCCCCGGGCTCCTCAGCGGTCCCCAAGGCTCCTCAGGGGGCTACACAGGGGTCCCCCGGGCTCCTCAGCGGTCCCCAAGGGTCCACAGGGGGCTACACAGGGGTCCCCCGGGCTCCTCAGTGGTCCCCAAGGGTCCTCAGGGGGCTACACAGGGGTCCCCCGGGCTCCTCAGCGGTCCCCAAGGCTCCTCAGGGGGCTACACAGGGGTCCCCCGGGCTCCTCAGCGGTCCCCAAGGGTCCACAGGGGGCTACACAGGGGTCCCCCGGGCTCCTCAGTGTTCCCCAAGTGTCCTCAGGGGGCTACACAGGGGTCCCCCGGGCCTCTCAGGGGGCTACACAGGGGTCCCCCGGGCTCCTCAGTGTTCCCCAAGGGTCCTCAGGGGGCTACACAGGGGTCCCCCGGGCTCCTCAGTGGTCCCCAAGGGTCCTCAGGGGGCTACACAGGGGTCCCCCGGGCCCCTAAGGGGTCCCCCGGGCCCCTAAGGGGTCCCCCGGGCCTCTCAGGGGGCTACACAGGGGTCCCCCGGGCTCCTCAGTGTTCCCCAAGGGTCCTCAGGGGGGCTACACAGGGGTCCCCCGGGCTCCTCAGCGGTCCCCAAGGGTCCTCAGGGGGCTCCTCAGCGGTCCCCAAGGGTCCTCAGGGGGCTACACAGGGGTCCCCCGGGCTCCTCAGTGTTCCCCAAGGGTCCTCAGGGGGCTACACAGGGGTCCCCCGGGCTCCTCAGTGGTCCCCAAGGGTCCTCAGGGGGCTACACAGGGGTCCCCCGGGCCCCTAAGGGGTCCCCCGGGCCTCTCAGGGGGCTACACAGGGGTCCCCCGGGCTCCTCAGTGTTCCCCAAGGGTCCTCAGGGGGGCTACACAGGGGTCCCCCGGGCTCCTCAGTGGTCCCCAAGGGTCCTCAGGGGGCTACACAGGGGTCCCCAAGGGTCCTCAGTGGTCCCCAAGGGTCCTCAGGGGGGCTACACAGGGGTCCCCCGGGCTCCTCAGCGGTCCCCAAGGGTCCTCAGGGGGCTCCTCAGTGGTCCCCAAGGGTCCTCAGTGGTCCCCAAGGGTCCTCAGGGGGCTACACAGGGATCCCCCGGGCTCCTCAGCGGTCCCCAAGGCTCCTCAGGGGGCTACACAGGGATCCCCCGGGCTCCTCAGCGGTCCCCAAGGGTCCTCAGGGGGCTACACAGGGTTCCCCCGGGCTCCTCAGCGGTCCCCAAGGCTCCTCAGGGGGCTACACAGGGGTCCCCCGGGCTCCTCAGTGGTCCCCAAGGCTCCTCAGGGGGGCTACACAGGGGTCCCCCGGGCTCCTCAGCGGTCCCCAAGGGTCCTCAGGGGGCTACACAGGGGTCCCCCGGGCTCCTCAGGGGGCTACACAGGGGTCCCCCGGGCTCCTCAGCGGTCCCCAAGGGTCCTCAGGGGGCTACACAGGGGTCCCCCGGGCTCCTCAGCGGTCCCCAAGGGTCCTCAGGGGGCTACACAGGGGCCCCCGGGCTCCTCAGTGGTCCCCAAGGGTCCTCAGGGGGCTACACAGGGGTCCCCAAGGGTCCTCAGTGGTCCCCAAGGGTCCTCAGGGGGCTACACAGGGGTCCCCCGGGCTCCTCAGTGGTCCCCAAGGGTCCTCAGGGGGCTACACAGGGGTCCCCAAGGGTCCTCAGTGGTCCCCAAGGGTCCTCAGGGGGCTACACAGGGATCCCCCGGGCTCCTCAGCGGTCCCCAAGGGTCCTCAGGGGGCTACACAGGGGTCCCCCGGGCTCCTCAGTGGTCCCCAAGGCTCCTCAGGGGGCTACACAGGGGTCCCCCGGGCTCCTCAGTGGTCCCCAAGGCTCCTCAGGGGGCTACACAGGGGTCCCCCGGGCTCCTCAGCGGTCCCCAAGGCTCCTCAGGGGGCTACACAGGGTTCCCCCGGGCTCCTCAGCGGTCCCCAAGGCTCCTCAGGGGGCTACACAGGGGTCCCCCGGGCTCCTCAACGGTCCCCAAGGGTCCTCAGGGGGCTACACAGGGATCCCCCGGGCTCCTCAGCGGTCCCCAAGGGTCCACAGGGGGCTACACAGGGTTCCCCCGGGCTCCTCAGTGGTCCCCAAGGCTCCTCAGGGGGCTACACAGGGGTCCCCCGGGCTCCTCAGTGGTCCCCAAGGCTCCTCAGGGGGCTA